CCTGACATGCAGCCTTCTAAGATAACCGTTAACCTTACCGACGTCCACCTCACCTTCCTGCGGCTCGTAGTGTGGAGGTGGTGGTGGTATCTGATCTTCATCTGGGCCTGGGACTGGATCAGGTCGTTGATCTTCCTGAGGTGCTTCCTGATGTTGTGGTGCTGCATGCTGTTCTTGTTGAACCCCAGGTCGCTTGAAATATAGGCGTGTCCTCGTATGGCTCGTGCCTTCCGGCAGCGGGGCGTATATCTCTTCGTCGGTCAGGATGCTCTCGCCCAGCTCGTCGCCAATGAGGATGTTGGTGTCGAGATCCCAGGTAAGCCTCCGCACCACAGAAAGCCACTCTGGTCCCTCGATGTCCGTCCCCATGTAAGTCTTGACGTTCTCGTCCTCGCGCTCCCAGCACTCGAGCTCGCCCTTGGGGTCGATGTCGAGCTCCGCCTCATTCTCCATCTCCAGCCTCTGCGCCTTGGGTAGCGGCTGCTTCCCGATCAGGCGCCGCTTGGTGACGTACACTGCCTCGCTGAACTCCGTCTCATAGTCGCCTCCAGCCCACGCGCACCAAGTAGACCACTCCACACACCTCATGATAGACTTGGCCCACTTCTTGCACATCGCGGCCGGGTATGCTGCAGTGAACTCGGTAACCTTGCCCTGTATCTCCTCGTGCTTGTGGTTGTGCGGGCTGCCTCGCTGATTTGAGCACGTCCTGCCGATGGTTGCATTGAGGTGCGGGTCGGACGTCGCAATCAGCCATTCTTTCTTGATCAGCTCGCCTGTCTTCGGATATCTCAACCCAAAAGCACACCCATCCACTCGTACAGTGAACAGCTGCTCCCTGAGACGCTTGAGGTATGGCAAGGACCAGGTCCCGCACTTCAGCGGCTGTTCGAAGTCAATTTCGGCTCCTTGATGTAGTGCTTGGAAGGCAAGTAGCACACAAGCCCGGGTGACCTTGTCATTCTTTCGGCGCTTGTGCTCCAGACGCACTCGTTGATCTTCGGTCCTCTGGTTAGCGTTCTGGATGATCGATCTGGCCGTGCACGGTGGCGAAAATACGACCCTTCTCGGATTCTCTAGCTTCAGCGTCTCCGAAGCCCTTCTGTAGCCGGTGTTGGTAGTTAGATCGTACTCGTTGTGCTTCCCGAGCCTGAGGACGGTGCCGCCGAGCTTCTCGACCTCAACTCCGAGCGGGGAGTTTGGAGGAGCACATACCTCCAGCAGGTCCAGCTGCCCAAGTCGAAGTAGATCCTGAGCGTCCTTGGCTGCTGCCGTCTCGAACTCCGCGATCTTCTGGTTGAGCAAGTAGATCTGCGTGGCGTTGAGCGTCTTCACCTGACCAGCCGCAACGCAGCCCGGATCGTCCTCCGCTGTAGCGTCCGGACCTCCCTGTCCAGCGTCAGGTTGGTCAGCTTCAGCCAGTTGTCTAAGCTGTTGATCTCGTCGAGGAGCGCCCAGGTGGTCCTCCGGCACCGGTATGTCCTCGGTCTCCTGCTTCATCCTCTCCATGTGCTCGGTCAGGGTCTCCTTCGCCGGATCCCAGGTCGGAAACTGCATGTTGTTCTGCATCACCGTGTCCAGGTCGATCGTCTCGTGGACTGTCTCCACCTCTTCCTCCTTCATCGTCGCCTTCTTCGGAGGTGGTGCCTTGAATGCTGCCGGGCACCCCTTCGGCCTCGATGCATGGTAGACCGTTCTCTGCGGCGAAGGTGAGCTCGAAGTTGCTCTCGGAGGTGGTGGTGGTCTCGGAGTCGCTGTCGTCGGATCCTCCTTCTTGGCCGCCGAGCCCGAAAACGCTGGCCCAGAACTCGACGTCTCCGCGCGGATCCTCAGACACACATGGCTGCGCCCGCCCACACAGCTGCAGCCCGCTCTGCGCCTCCCAGGCGCTCCGCAGCACGCGCACTTGATGTTGTCGTACTGCCTCTTGATGTCGCCAGCGTCGGTCTCCTCTTCCTTCTTGAGGTTGTAGGGCTTGATCAGCGGCGGCTGGCCGCAAGGAAGTCGTCCCTGACACTGGTGACTGCGGCCGCCCAGGCATGAACATCCGGCCGTCGTGGTCCCCGGAACTCCGCAGCAGCCGCACCTTGTACTCGTCAAGGCCGTCGAAGTAGCGAAGACCTCCGAGGGTTGCGATGAGCCACGTGAGCTTCTGCCACCGCATGATGATCGCATCCACTGGCTGATATGGAATAGAAAGCTGGTCTGAGTCGAGAGCCTTAGCTCGATCACCGTCTTGAGCCCAAGAAACTTCGGAAGCATCGGAAATCAGAGCATCATGTGTGACAACTTCTCTCCATTCAGCGTGTGGCCCGAAATCTATGAGAAGATGCCCGCACCTGGATCTTTCTAGAAGGTAGGTCTTACTGCCCAGAGCCTTAAACCTGATAGTGCCGAGCTCGAAGTCAACAATCACTCCGAAATGCTTCAGGAAATCCATACCTATCAAAAGCGGAGCATCCACTTCCACAACTGAAACTGGAAAATCACACTCTTGGCCGTCGACGTATCCTGGAATACTTGCGTGATTCAGAGACTTAGCCTTCTGATTATTCCCGAAAGTAAACTCGATTCGGGGTCCAGGAACTATCTTCATACGGTTCTGGCCTACCATCTTCATCATCGTGGCTTGCCAGATCTCCGCCGTATCTAAACCTATCATGGATGAGGTGGCCCCAGAGTCCAAGATGCCTTTGAAGGTCCCCGAGAGCTGTGAGGCCATAAATATACACTGCTCGAAAACCACATATACTCGATGAGACTCCCTTCTGGAAACCCTGGGTGTTTGTATTCGGATGCTCGTCGGTCTCGGTCGTGCTGCTGTCGGTCGCGGTCGCGCTGTAGTCGATCGCGGTCGTGATGTAGTCGATCGCGGTCGTGATGCTGTCGATCGCGGTCGTGCTGTAGTCGATCGCGGTCGTGATGTAGTCGATCGCGGTCGTGATGCTGTCGATCGCGGTCGTGCTGTAGTCGATCGCGGTCGTGATGCTGATGACGATAGATGCTTGTAGCTACGTCCAGCCTGCAGCTTGGCTGGAGCCTTGCAGTTCTTAGCTATGTGGCCGCGGCCGCCGCACCTCAGGCATATGGTGTTGGGGTCCGTCTTCCACGAGTCGTCCCTCTTCTGGTGGTGGCCTCCGCCTCCGGGCGAGCCCTTGGCCGAAGTCGACGACTTGCCTGCCCCCTTGGCCGGCTGTCCGCCTTTCTTCTGCCCGAACTGGCCTCCGAAGAACTTCCGCCCGGTCTTCTTCTGGCGCAGCAGCTCGCGAGCCTGCTTGAAGGACCGCTGCCCTTGTTGAGCAGCAGAAAAAACAGCACCCTCGAGTAGCTCATCTCGGAGCTCTTGGTCGTCACCTGCTTGATCGTAGATCTCCCGGATCTGGCTGGCGAACTCGTCCTCCTCCGCCGCCAGCGCTGTCGCGTTCTCGCTGTGCTGGTCGCCCTCGTCATCCTCGTCGTCCTCTTCCGAGTAGTCATCGTCGCCCTCGGCCGCGTAGTTCTTGCTACGTCCCTGCCGCGGTGGCCTGCCGCCACGCATGTTGTTGTGGTCGCGTTCGTGCTTCTTGTCGAACTGCATGCCGAGGGCTTGCTGGATGGCCTGGTACCCATACTTGTTCTGCACAGAGGCCAGCACCTGCGAGCGCTCGTGGTCGTCGAGGCCAGCATTCTCGAGCAGAAACCATGCTCGGAGCGGCTCAGGAAATATCGGTTTCTTCTCGTCGAAATCTTTGTCGATGGCCTTTATCGCCTTCTGCATCCGGTCCTCTTCGACCTCGAACTGCGTGAGGTAGTCTCTCATGCTCGTCCGGTTCTTCCGGTAGGTCTCCTTCATGAATGTCCTCATGTACTTGCCAGCGTCCTCCACCTCCAAGATGCCGCTCTTCTCCCGGAGATACTGGATCAACTGGCTCACTCCTTTCGGCAACTTGGTCGTCGCATCTTCCTCCAGGTCGTCCAGGCTGTCCAACTTGTCGTACTTCTGTACTCCCTGCCACGCACGTCCCTGGAGCTTCGCCATCAATCTGGGCCCGCAGAGGCCCTTCTCGTCCTTCTTGGTACCGCGCACATACAGCTTCACTCGCATCACGTAGGAGTCGAAGCTGGCCACGTCTCCGTCCCACGAAGGCACGGTCTCGTGCTTCTCAGCCTCGGTCGTCATGACGAGCCGGTCCGTGGAGCCACGACCGGCTCCGCTACCAACTAAATCGTCGGCACTGGCGTCAGCCTGCTGTCGATCTTCTCGTAGATGATTATCTTGATAATATTTTCCTCCACGGCTCGCGCCAGCGACACAACAATCTGTAAGATATCTCGCTAGCCCCTGGTGGGCTGAAACAGTCACTCACTTGGTGAGTGTGTGGCCGGTCGGCCGCGCCCGGTAGCCTTACCGGGACTCAAGGGCGCCCT